TTCTTGTTATTTCTTTATTAAACAAAATAAGTCACATATATTGGTAAAATGACCCATTATATAACTTTCTCATTTAAATTAAAACAAAAGTCTTGGTGAAATTTTACTTTTAGGTCTCACTGATTGTTGGATTGATCATAAAGACATGAAAGAGCTTAATGAAACAACAATAAGGGTTGATGCTCTATCAAAAATGAGTCATCTTAAGTTACTCAAGTTTAAAAATGTGATGTTTTCCGGAAGCCTCAATCATCTTTCGAATGAGCTAGGATATCTTATTTGGGATAAATATCCTTTTGAGTGTTTGCCTCCAAGTTTTCAACCGGACAAACTTGTTGAGTTGTCCCTTAGAGACAGCAGTATCAAACAACTATGGGAAGAAAGAAAGGTAATAGTATCAATTGTTATAGTACTAGTCTTTTCTATTTTGTTTTCTTTAAATGAACATATAAAAATAAAAGTCTCATTTATTATTTACTTATTTTCTCAAATTAATTAAAGAAAAAATCTTAGTTCAGTGTCGTTATTAACTTTGCCTACTACTATTGCCCCTTCATTGTAGACTCTACATAATTTGAGACGTTTGGATCTCTCTCATTCCAAAAATTTAACGAAGATGCCAGATATTGGGGAGGCCCTAAATCTTGAGTTCCTAAATCTGACTGGATGTGTAAAACTCAAGCAGATTGATCCTTCATTTCGTCTTTTAAGAAAGCTTAATTTTGTGAGTTTGGAAGACTGCAAAAATCTTATCAAGCTGCCACATTTTGGGGAGGCCTTGAATCTTGAAACGCTAAATCTCAAAGGATGTGTGAAACTCAGGAAGATTGATCCCTCCATTGGTCTTCTAAGAAAGATGTCTTTTTTGAATTTGAAAGGTTGCAGAAGTCTTATCAAGTTACCACATTTCAGAGAGGACCTAAATCTTGAAATGCTAAATCTCGAAGGATGTACACAACTCAAACAAATCAATCCATCCATTGGTCATCTAAGAAAGCTTACTTTTTTAAATTTGAAAGACTGCAAAAATCTAATAAGCTTACCCAACAACATATTGGACCTCAGTTCTCTTCAACATTTGAGTCTCTCTGGATGTTCCAAATTGTATACTATTCAGTCTTTAGGTAAACCAAGGGATGGAGAGCATTTAAAGAAGCTTTATATAGGTGAAGCTCATATGTATTCCCAATCAACATTCCACAGCACATAAAGATTCACTTAGTTGTTCGTTGGATTCCATTAGTACTTTCCCATGCATGCGTGAACTTGATCTAAGTTTCTGCAATTTACTTCAAATCCCTGATGCTATTGCAAATTTACATTGCTTAGAAGGACTAACTTAAAGGGGAAACAATTTTGCTACACTGCCTAGCCTCAAGAAGCTGTCCAGACTGTATTATTTAGACTTACAACATTGCAAGCAGCTGAAATATTTGCCTGAGCTCCCTTCGCGAACTGCCTTGTCAAATGCATTGCTTCCATTTAGTAGAGCAGGATTGGAGATATTCAACTGCCCAGAATTTGTTGAGAGGGAATGTTGCACTAACATGACTATTTCATGGATGATACAAATCATTCAGGTGTGTCCACTCTCTCCTTCCTCTTTGCATCTATTTCTGTCTCTTTTTTCATGTGTAAAGAAACTAATGAAATTGTGTGACAAAATTTAGAGACAAAAAATTATCTTTACAGTAACTAACATATCACTGTTGTGTCTGTGGTACTAGGCGGAATTCCAATACAATCCTCTTAAATATAGTACATGGCCTCCAAGCATTTCAAGTGTTATTCCGGGAAGTGAAATACCAAGGTGGTTTAACAATCAACATGAGGGCATGGGTACTTTCATAAGAATTGAGACACCTCCCCTTATGGGAGACAATAATTTCATTGGCATTGCTTGCTGTGTAGTATTTGCAGCTGGTTCTGGGATAGAAAAAGTTTTAGGGATGGATCCTCCAATGCTACAAACATCTCGTGATGCTTTTATTCCGGTGATTCTAGATGAAGATCTAGTTGCGGACAAATCAGATCACATGTGGTTATTCTATTTCAATGCACAACGACCCACATGCCCATTTTCGAAATTGGAATATGATATAAAGGAGTGGCAAGGTTTTGATGTTGTGGTGAAGAAATATGGTTATCGTTTGGTATATGAATAGGATCGAAAACTGTCAAAATTAACAATGGTACATATCAGAAATTCGTTAGCTGAGAAGCCCAACTATTTGGAAAGTGATGGAAACATCAAAGTGAAGAACTTGATATAGACCTGTGTACTGCCTAGAATTAGTTGAAAGCGAGCACTGCACTAGCATGACTATTTTGTGGATGAAATAAATTGCACACCCCTTCCTTCCTCATCTCATCTCTTCCTCTCCCTGTGTTCTTTTTTCTGCTGCAGGAACCTGCAACTAACATATAGTTGTGTCTGTGTAGATGGACCACCATTACAAATGTCAAATGTCTTGAAAGTACTCTGTTTCCTCCAACCACTGAAACTTTGAAAGTATTATTTGAGGAAGTGAATGAAACTGAAATACTTAGGTGGTTCAGTAATCAGCATGTGTGCATGTGGGGAACAGTTTTAGGGATAGGGCCTCCAAAATTAAGTGTTTTATCCTCTTCTCGGTATAATTTGTTAGAGCATGAGATTTTGTCTTATTTGAATTTTGGCTTTTGAAAATTTAGATAGTCTTATTGTTTCAGATTTTTATTCTTTTTGTTCTATTTTTATTTTGCTTGTAATCCTAATAATTCTGATGGCATATGAAACTTTTTAGAATTTTCAAATTGGTTGGAAGTCTATATATAGACATTCTCTTTTACGAATTTTAATGTCAAATTTCCTTCTTCATTTTAATTTTCTGCAAGTTACAAATTTCTAACGTGATTTGGGTGGTTCTTGATGAGCATCTAAACATGGAAAAATAAATTCACATGTGGTTATACTATTTTACTGTATTATGTGACACATCTTTGGCATTGGTAATGGAGAAGCTAAGTTTTGATGTTGAGGTGAAAAAACTTAACATTCCTGTGTCTAACGTTAACTACCATCTGCCAAGTTAATATCAAATAAATGGAAATACTTTTACCTTTCATATCTACATCACGGAGAATAAAATGAAGGAAGAAAGCAAGGAAAACGGAGTTAAAGAAGAATCTCAGGAAGGTGAGGAAATCTGCCATTTCGGCATAATCAATTTTCCCAATTGAGCCTATAGAATGACCTATACATTTGGCATTTATTTTAAGCCATGAAATGCCAATATTTAATCATAAATAAGCTACAAGAAAAGCAAAAATGACAACATTTTCACCAAGAATCAGGAAGAGGTATAAAAGGAACTGATGCAAATTCTGAATAAGCATGCTAACATAAAATTATATTGTCTGTTATCATAGGATCCAGGTGTCAGTAGGGTTGGCATATGATTCTGTTTCTTTTGGTTGTAATGTTTAACAGAGGATGGTACAATTTTTTTATCCTGTTTATGTGACTTGAAACGAAGTCAGTGAATTTTTTATTTAGTATGCTTTTACTATATCTAAATCAGGATGGTTAGTGGTATGTTGTATTCCAGAGCACTTAAAGATTCAGTTAGTAGTTTGGTGACTTCCTCATCTACTTTCCCATGTAAGTCTCTAGTATATCTAAGTCTCTAGTATGCTTTTACTATATCTAAGTCTCTGCAATTTAGTAAAAATCCTTTATGCTGATGGAAATATGAGATGCTTAGAAAGGCTAGATTTATATCCAAGTTGTATTATTTAAACTTACAGCATTGTAAGAAGTTGAAATATTTGCATGAGCTCCCTTCACGATTAACTTATTCCAGTAAGTAAAATACCAAGGTGTTTCAACAACCAACAATAGCATGCATGTGGGAATGAGCAACTTAATAACCATAAGACACATTACGATTAACTTATTCTCTTTAATGGAAAAACAGAGCTATGAAAAACTAAAGTGTGTTGATATTAGCTTGGTTTTGTAATGAAGTGGAAAACTGAAACCAACTTCATTCCACATGAAGCTGTTGGAAAGTCCCAATTCACCTGTTTCCATTCTTCAGCTGCAGTTTATATATCTATTGGACAACTTCACTTAATGTCAATTAGTTTTAAGATGAAATCTAACTTGATATCAAAACTTAGAGTCCACATCTTCTTGATTTGCCTGGTTCTGGTGGGCATCGCCTATCTCAATTTTTGGGTGTGGTTTATATATTTATTGGACAACTTCACTTAATGCTAGTAAGGGAAATACTTGTGGTATTTATTAAGTAAAAACCAACAAGGTTGCACTTTCTTGGTAGCTTTTACGAACCTTCTCTCACTTTTGCACTATATTTCCCTGGTTTTTCCACCAAAGAGAATAAGTTCATCCTAATGTGTCACCACCTACTACTATTATTTATACTATTAGAAAAGTGGATTATCCCATTTCGTGTACACATTTTTTTGAAAGGGATTATTTATGCTAGTAATTATTATTCATGTTATTGTTATCCCAACCTGTAGTATTATTCAATCAAGGGAGCATTATAAAATATCCAGCATTGGCACTCGGAAAGGGCAAATTAGAACAAGTCAGTAACCTACTTGAGATTAAATTATTTTCTTTGGAGTCACAAGCCGAAGCATTGGCTGATGGAACCCTCAGTGACCAGTTTGGGCTTCTATACATAGCTGCACAACAAGCCAACGATTTTTTTTTTTTTTTTCTGAACCATTTAACATAGAGGAAATGGAATCTGTTAATGGTTTGTTATAGCTTCTTAATTTTTATTTCTATTTATATTCTTCAAAAAGTGTATATACTCAATTTTATATTATTTTTTAATTCAAAATAGTACCATTATTTCTAACAACATGATAATATTACTAGATGTATATAATTGAAGATATTTCTTTCTATTTAATTAGAAATGTGCTTAATTTAATCACTAGTAGGTTATTGCAGACTTGTTCTTGCTTTGCGTGATCAATGATGTACTTAGCCCTTTCGAAGCTCCAATGCTGGGGGTTTGAATAATGTTTGCTTGATTGAATAATAATAATGATGATGTACTTAGGGTTAACTTATTCTCTAGGAAGTGGTGAAGTCGGAGAAGTTTCCCACAAGTTGCCAACAAAGTTGACAATATCAGCTTTTAGTTACATTAATGCAAGAGATTTTTAAATAACTCATATTCAACTACGTACTCTTAGCTTTGCACATTCACACTACTTCTGAATTCTGATACACATCATTCAGAAAAAGTTAACTTAAACTTTTCCCAATTGCAATGGCTTCTAACACCAGTGACATTGTGAGCGTCAATGTCCATGTTTAATATTAAAAATAAAAAGTACTATATTATATTGATATCTTGTCGTATACATGTTCTGTTTTGATTCTCTTGGGTGATGGTTTGACATCCTTTATTTTCTTTACATATGGTGTCCAAATGACATTGTCCAGCCAGAGTCAGTGTTTCATAGTTTAAAAAAAATGTACTCTATTCTATTGATATCTTGTCCTATACATGTACGTTCTATTTTTATTCTCCTAAGTGATGATTTGACATCCTTTATTTTCTTTAAATTTTCAGACCACAATATCAAGAGATTGAACAAATTGTTCAAACGATAATAAAATTACAGGGTCCCAAATTTGCAAGTCTTCCAAATAATGAGCTAGTTGGAATGCAATCTCGTGTTCAAGAATTAACAAAGCTTTTAAATTTGGGCTCAGATAATGATATTCAAGTTGTTGGAATTAGTGGGATGAGTGGGATAGGAAAGTCAACCGTTGTCCGTGCTTTATATGAAAGAATATCTCATCAATATGATTTAGGTGTTTTATTGATGATGTGAGTAAAATTTATCGAGATTCTAATATATTAGGTGTACAAAAACATTTACTTTCCCAGTCTCTAAATGAGAAAAATTTAGAGATTTACAATGTTTCTGAGGGAAAATATTTGATATGGACGAGGCTACGTGCAAAGGCACTTATAGTTTTTGACAGTGTACGTTGATCAAGTTAGACAATTAAAGATGTTTATAGGAGGTAAAGACTCTGTATTACGTAAATCTTTAGCTGGAGGGAGCAAAATCATCATAATTTCTAGGGATAAACATATATCGAGAACATATGAAGTAGATGATGTTTACCAAGTGCAATCTTTGGATGAAGATGAAGCTGTTATGTTGTTTTGTAGAAATGCTTTCAAAAGTAATTCTATTATGAGTGGTTATGAAAAGTTTACAGACGTCATACTGCGACATATGCTCAAGGCCATCCCTTAGCAATTGAGGTAATGGGCTCATCTTTGTTTGGACGAAATCTCTCACATTGGAGAACTGCATTGTCTAAGCTAAGAGAACATAAAAGTAAAGATATTATGGATGTGTTGCGAATAAGTTTTGATGAGTTGGACGACTTTGTTAAGGAAGTATTTTTAGATATTGCTTGTTTCTTCAATTATTATTGTGAAGATCACCTTAGAGAAGTTCTAGATTTTCGTAGATTTCATCCTGAAGATGGCCTACAAATTCTCATGGATAAATCACTCATACAAATTCACTATGGGTACATTTTTATGCATGAGTTATTGATAGATTTGCGCAGGTTTATTGTTTGAGAAAAATCACCTAAGGAGCCAAGAAAGTGGAGTAGGTTGTGGGATTGCCAAGATTTCAACAAAATTATGTCAGATAATATGGTAAAATGGTTTGAGCTCAAAATCTTAGTTTGCTATTTTATTTTGGAATCTGTAAATACTTCACAATATCTAACATTTTGTTTCCCTTTTGCAACATTTTAGGCTGCAGAGAAACTTGAAGTCATAACTGTTGAACTTGAAAAAGAAGAATTTCATGAAACAACAACAATGGTTGATGCTCTATCAAAAATGAGTCACCTTAAGTTGCTCAAGCTTAAGAATGTGAACTTTTCCGGAAGCCTCAGTTATCTTTCAAATGAGTTAGGATATATTACTTGGGATAAATATCCTTTTGAGTTTTTGCCTCAAAGTTTTCAGTCGGAGAAACTTGTTCAGTTGTCCCTAAGTGAAAGCAACATCAAACAACTATGGAAAGACAAAAAGGTATTGTAAATTGTTATTTTAGCTTTTTCAATTTGTTTTTTTAAAATAAACAAATAAAAGTACAAGGTCTTTCATGTTATATGTCCTTTTTCTAAGATGAATTAAAGATATAAAAGAAATATGAAGAATCATTATTAACTTTGTTTGCTAATGTTGACCCTTCACTGCAGCCTCTACACAATTTGAGACGTTTGGATCTCTCTTACTCTGAAAGCCTAACCAAGCTGCCAGATTTTGGGGAGTTCCTAAATCTTGAGTGGCTAAATCTCAAAGGATGTATAAAACTCAGGCAAATTGATTCATCCATTGGTTTTCCAAGAAAGCTGATTTTTATGAATTTGGAAGACTGCATAAGCCTTATCATGATACCACATTTTGCATATGTCCTAGATCTTGAAACACTAAATCTCAAAGGATGTATAAAACTTAGGAAGATTGACCCATCCATTGGTCTTCTAAAGAAGCTTTCCTTTTTGAACTTTAAAAATTGCAAAAGTCTAGCAAGCTTACCTAACAGCATATTTGGCCTCAATTCTCTTGAGTATCTAAGTCTCTCTGGCTGTTCAAAACTACATATCCAATTATTTGGTGAACAAAGAGATGCAGAATATTTGAAGAAGCTTTGTATAGGTGAAGCTCCAATTTACTCCCAATCAACATCCACCTATTCCAGAAGAGTAAATAAAAATTTAGTTAGTTGTTTGTTGTCTCCCTCATCCACTTTCCTATGTATGCGTTACGTTGAACTAAGTTTCTGCAATTTAGTTCAAATCCCTAATGCTATAGGAAATTTACCTTGTTTGAAAAGGCTAAATTTAAGTGGAAACAATTTTGCTACACTACCCAACCTCAAGGAGCTTTCCAAACTGTATTACTTAAACTTACAACATTGCAAGCAGTTGAAATGTTTGCGTGAGCTCCCTTCACAAACTAACTTGCCCTCAAGAACATACCAACCGCCATCGTTAATTTTAGAATTAGGCGAACTTGGTTTTAGAGAAGGGCCATGGTCAACTACAGAACCTACAACTGATATAAGCCAACCAGGATTATATATTTTCAACTGCCCAGAATTAGTTGAGATGGAAAGCAGCATTAACATGAGTTTGTCATGGATGATACAAATTAATAATCATTAAGGTACATATGTGCCCCCTCCTTCTTAATTTGCAACTCTTTCTCTCCTCTTTTGTGTGTAGGAATCAACAACTAACATATAGTTGTGTTTGTAGCACCTGGCAGACTACCAATACAAAGATCTGAAAAACTCTCCTGTGGATCCAAACGTTGAGATTATTGTTCCAGGAAGTGAGATACCAAGGTGGTTCAACATTCAGCATGTGGGCATGGGAACTTTCATAACCATAGACATAGAGGCATCTCCCCTCGGACAACATGACAATAACTGCATTGAAGTTGCTTGTTGTGTAGTATTTGCTGCTCGTTCTAGGTGGGGATTACCTTTTGGGATGAATCCTCCAAATCCAAGAACAGTCCATCGTCGTTATGCTATAATGCCGGTGGTTCTCGATGAAGATCTTGTCATGGAAAAATCAAATCACATGTGGTTATTCTATTATGATCCAAAACACTCCATCATGACCAATTCGAGCAGATATTCTAAATTATAGTAGACAGGCATGGCTTTCATGTTGAGGTGAAGAAATATGGTTATCGTTGGATATATGAACCGGATCTAGAACTGTCAAACTTAACAGTTCCTCGTAGTGGAAATTTGTCTGCTCAGAAGCACAACATTTTGGCAATTGAAGAAAACTTGTAGCACCTACATTTCAGCTACACTTGCAGCAAAGTGAAGAATTGGAGGCATTGTTGAAAATGTAAGCAAGATTTGCAACAATCAAACAAAACTAAAATGCAAGTAGAAGCAGCTGTAGCATTCAAATTCACCATGATTTAAGGGATAGCAGTCCAATCCTCTTTCTGTTAAATTTAATCCACTCTGTTTGAAGAAGGTGAGAAGAAATGCTTTATTTCTTACCAGACATTCAATTTTTTAATTTGTGTTTGCACATATTTTGGCTTCCAAATTTATTAATCTCACTCCAAGTTTATCCTTGTGACTCCAAGGTGGCACTTAACATTCCTGTCTCTTGTTAACATCCTTGTGACAAGTTTAGCATTAAATGAAATAAATAGCCGCACTTCTATCTCCATATCTACATCAAAGAAAATAAAACAGAGGAACAAAGTGAGGAAATATAAATAATGGAAGAATCTGCAAAAGGATGAAAGGATGCTGCCAAACCCTCCCTGGAAAACACAATCAAGCTGTTGTATAATCAATTAGAGCATTTGGACCTATAGAATGATCCTTCCTTCTGCAATTTATTGTAAGCCACAAACTTCCAAATGCCAATATATCATAAGGTATAAGCAAATGAATAATGACAAAACTTTTATTTGAAGAGACATGAAGAGTCACAAAGGGGAACTGATGCAAATTCTAAATTAGGTTCTTATGATAAATTTTTATGTGATTCTGGTTTACTTATTCCTCATGTTGTAGGCTAGTTATAAATAAAGAATGGATCAAATGTGACAAGTTCTATAATTTAAGTGTTATACGAACCAATTAATTTGTTAATTTATGAAATACTTTATCATTCTAGTATTTTACATTGTTGATTTAAAATGTGTGACCTGTGAAACTGGCCTTACCTAGTCACTTGTCAGCTAGGGGTGTTACAATCTATTTTACCAATTTATGAAGAAGTTTATATGTATGAGATGATACATCTTATATTCAACAGCTCCAGTTCAGTTTCTTCTTTGTGATGTTTAATAATCCATTCACCTCATATCACTTCACATTTAACATCTTCATCTCACATCTTGCATTGTATGGGATGGAAACTTTCTTTGATAAAGTGATTACAAGTTCCCTCCAGCATGAATAATTTTTATAACCTACCAGCATTATATAATAAATAATTATGTTACGTTTTTAACAATGTTAGGGTGAGTTTGAAACTCTTTTCAGGGTGCTGTTTTTTATGGACCATAAATCTATCAAGTGGGGAAATGGAAAAAATTTAATCTGTCTTGTCCATGTATGTATGTATACGTGTGCAGATTGCCCTGATCTGATGGTGTACTTTGTGCCAATTTTGGAGGTTTGAGTTTGAATAATGCTCAATAGATCGAACAACAACTATGATAATACTAACAATACACGTTAGAATTATCTTATTCTCTTCCGTGGAGAAAACATGGCAATGGAAAAATAAAGTCTGTTAGTATATATTATCTTTATAATAAGTGGACAAGTTAAAGTTGTCTTAACTTTTATTAATTTCATCTGAAGGAGGATTAAAGATTCTTATAAAGGCAATTATAAGAAAGCTAAGGTGCAGAACCTGCCAAGAAAAAACGCTTATACCACAATTAGGGGCTTTTATTTAATTATTATATTGTTTTCTTTTGATGGAAGCGGACAAAATAAAGTGGTATCATATATATATATATATATATATACACTTTTTATTTTTATTTTTTTTTACCATGGTATTGATAGGAGTATCATCGACTTTGTCAAAAATAGTCTCCCTCAAGACTTTTACTGCAATAAGATTATTTCTCTCGGTGTCATTTTTTTTATCAAATTTAAAACTCGAATTTGAGACCTTAATGTTTGAGGACCTTGACTTGCTAATTCACATTGTCAAATTTGTGTTTAATGATTTGTGTATTTGGATTCTGACCCAAGATTCCCTATGTGTTACAAATTTAAAAGAGAAACTAGTTTAATCTGATAACATCTCAGTAATGTTTATCAAATTTGGCGCAGTTGCCGATTTCACAAGTCAAAGTTCCTTGAATTTTATCATGCATACTATCTGGTTGTTCAATTATTCTTTTGTATACACTAATAATCATTTTTGTTGGGTTTCATAACAGGTTACACGATGTTTTGTTATTGCTGTTTTGCTGTTGTTGTTTTGCTATCCTCAAATTTATTGTAATAGAAATTAAGTACAAATAAAATAATAAATTAATATTTCAAAATCAATAGCAAACTTAATATTTTTATTATATATACACATGCATCAAAACCAATGGAAAGCATTATATTTTCATATGATAAATTTATAAGAAATCCAATGATTTTGAACTTCAAACCCAAAAATAAACGCTTCAGTTTTTCCTCCGTAAAATCAGTAGCAAATTCAACTCTTTAATGGACCAAAGTCAAAAGTTATATTTCGGTAAGTTAGTCTAATAGAAACCAATAAATGTTCCATTTTGATGTAGGACGATTGATAGAAATTTCTATATTTTAATGTGGAAAAATCTAATTGTTACATTAGTAATGAGAAGAACCATTAATATTTCCAATAATGACCATTTTTAGTGTGCTAAAAGTTGAAGACATTTGAATATGTTATATGATATAGTATTAGGAATGGAAACTATAAAGTATGGAAACTACGTATGGACTTAAAGAAGAAGAGGAAACAGGGTGATAAAAATAAAGTTGTTACCCTATATTGTGATTAATTGTATAAAGTTGTTACCTTTTACTGTGTTCAGAGGATGATATAAATTGATGAATAGTATATTGTGTGTAAGGTAACTAATTATTAATGTGTAATTAAGATACTAAGGATTTTCTTAATGCATATAGTTTTAGAAGAAGAAAAAATAGTACATAATTATTAATAAATTACAATATTGGAACGAAAATTTACTATAACCCATGGATGTAAATTTTGAAGAAGCAACTATTGGTCTTTTCAATAAGGTATTATCGGAGACATTTCAAATTCAGAAAATTGGCACGAAATCTTCAAGACGATTTGATAATCATATTTTAGCACACCTTCTTTTTATATATTTTTGTCTTATTTGATTTTTTTTTTTTAGTATCATATATTCATGTATTAATTTAGATTTGTGTTAATGAATCATTTAGGATTCGGTCGTAAATTTTACTAAATTTTTGTAATAATTTTCTCTTTTGACGCAGTTTCTTGTGCAAGCCATATTTAGAGTTATACAACTCGAATTGGGCAAACATGGTGTTCCTAAAAACATAAGAGGGAGATCTACAACTTTTCTGTTGGGAGAAAAACCAAATTTGGATATTTTTTCAAACCCTAAATCGTGCCTCAAGCTCATGGCCTTGCACTAAATTTTTTAGCTTATCTCACTACTAGAAAAATTAAAATTAGAGAGGGAACAAAATCCGTCACAAAGTATGTTAAAATCCGTCACAAAATAAATTAGTGACGAAATTTGCGATGAAACTGATTTCGTCACAAAAATTGGCGTCACAAAATATTTAGTGACGGATAATTTCAGTCCGTCACAATCAGTGATGGAATTATGACATCACAAATTTCATCACTAATTTATAATATTAAATATTCATAAATTAATAAATTTCTGTCACAAATTGTGACAAATTTAGTGAGGGACTTTTTTCCGTCACAAATTTGTGACGGAATTTGTGACTCCATCACAAATTTTGGGACGAATTTACTTCATCACAAATTTGTGACGGATTTTTATTTTCGTCACAAATTTGTGACGGATTTGTAATTCCGTTACAAATTTGTGATGGAATTTGTGACAAATTAACTCCGTCACAAATTTGTGACAAAATTTGTGTCTCTTATTAACGCTACAAGTTGATAGGGATGTTGACCTCTCAAGAGGGGTCTATTTTACGACATATCACTTTTTATCGTGTTTTATCCTTGCTTGCATAATTTCTGGGAGACTTTCCAAAAGGTCACCCATCCCTACATTACTCCAAGTCAAGCACGCTTAACTGTGAAGTTCTTATGAGATAAGCTACCAAAATGTATATGCGTGTTGTTAGTATAACTTGTACAAATTAATTCATTTAAGTCATCTTTAACTGTACAATCTCATACTTGTACTATAATAATAATATATGAATATTTATTTATTACATACTTATAAATTAAATTTTAACATTTTAAATAAATTATTAAACAATTTAATACATTTATTTATCTTAAATCAATGATATAAAATTAAAAAAATGTATTTATCCTTGTTTTATTTTCTAATTATCAACCATTAATAAAATATAACTTAAAATCTTATCTAATTATATCATAATATTTTCACATCAAATTTAAAACCATATATTAGTCATACAAATATATTAAGATCATATAGTAAATTGTCAATAAGATTTTAATTAAATAATTTAAAATAATTAATATTTCAATTATATTGTTAATTAGCAAATAATTAATTCCAAAGCTAATTAATTTTTCTATATTAATTATTAGTGAAATTTAACAACTTTTAATTTAACAATTGGCTCAATGAAATTCAACACACACCATGAGTTATTGAGCAGAATTACTTTACTAATAGTTATTTTATAAATTATTTGATTCCTCCACTCTCTCACTCTATCTCTCTCTCTCAGAGAGAGAGAGGATGATTATACTAGTATCAGTGTAACTTTTACTAAGTATTACACATCGCTTAATAACTTTGTATTAAATGTAAATTTTGTAAATTTAACCGTTAGATTATTATAAAAATATAATAATATATAATAATTATATTATGAATAATAATAATAATAATTTATTTAATTAATCTTTATTTATATATACTTAATTTTATAATTAACAATCTACTTAATTCTATTTAAAATTATAATTTAAATTATTTATTTTTATAATTTATAATGATAATATAATTTATAAAATTATAAATATTTATTTATTACATACTTATAAATTAAATTTTAACATTTTAAATA